ACTTGCGATAAACACACGTCAAAGTAATTTTGAAATCTTTGTTACTTAAAAACGATAACTTTGTGATTTTCTAGACGAAGGCGTTTACAACACGTTCGTGCTGGACTGTAAGGACACGTGGGCAGTGCTTTTACACTGCGCTGAGAAACCGTCGAGCCCGCGATATCTKTCTAGCATCCTGTTGTCCAGGAACAGGACAGTGCCGGTAAATGTACGCAGTTACGTACACGACAAACTTCCCAAGTACGGCGTCCAACTGGAGTACACGTTCCCGATGGTGCAGGACGACTGCAGTCCCGCAGTCATCCCGCTATACTACGGTACGAAAACGGTGGCAGCCGGAGACAAGAAGACCGGGGCCGGAAGTAACAATTTCAAGCACCCCATGTTGCACAACGACCGTGGCAATAAACAGCAAACCGAAATCGATACCGATTTCAATTATAATTGATAACGTGTTGTTATCATCAATATCGATTTACTTTAACATATTTTGGTTAAATTAAAATACAAGTGTGTATTATGCTCAGACGAGTGATCGATATTATATTATCATTTATACATTAACATATTATTAACTATTTATACTTAAAAACATGCCTTTTCTTTCTCTTTTTTACAGTTAACCGTCGCGCGTCGTCGGCATTATAACAAATATAATTTACCGCGGTCGAAAACTTATACTTTTCAAACTCCTCGTTTCTCCGCGACGAGAATATTTTTACGGTCTCAGTAATCCACTGCTGTATAATATAGTTGCATATTTTATTAATAAAATGAGTCAGGTATATAGGTTAGGYTAACCTCAACGTGCAATTATGCATTCTTTCAAATGCAAACACATTATTATTACTTTTAGTTTTCACTAGCCAGCCTAAAAATTTRAATTATTTATGACGCGTGTGTCTTTTTATTGTAATGAAAATAATTAGACCGTTTAAAACATTATACAAGCCATTTGAATATAATGTAATAGTATATGCGCATWGTTGGCTGGCATTTAACAACTATGATCTTGTCACACCAATACAAATAATATGTTTGATTATGAATACTATCTGAACAAATAATAAAAATATACCTACTTGCTTGCGTTTTTATGTTTTACAATCAAGTACTTTTATATAATTATTAATAATTTTTATGGTGATCGGCACTTGTATATTATGATTATTGTTACTAAATTAATATCAATGTAGTTTTTACTAACTGTTTGAAGTACACAATAATATGGTGAAATTGATTTTTCCGGTGTTTCACATCGAAATCGAACGAAATAAACTGCATATAGGTAATAATATTGCAATATATGTACCTATTGTAAATTAATRTGAAATCTGGCTGGTGTATAAAATATTCGATCGACGATTTTATCGGAAAAACGGTGGATGTATTTATGCGATATAATGATAGTAATTATTTCATACCGAGGACCACRGATGCCGCGGTGATCTCGTTTGTTTGATCTGTATACACATTCTATGTATGTATACATTATRCACACCRCGCTAATCAATGGCATGCTAATAACGTACGCGTAAAATGAACTAAACCTGTGCGTATTATTAACTTATAAACTTGTATCCATATTATATATACTACACATATATAGTACCTACGTGTGGTCCCGAAGAACGTGTGTGTGTGTGCGTATAATAATATCAATGGATCATTAATAGTAGGTTTTTTTTTTTTTATTTTACTTTCCATAACATTTTTTCGTACGCAAATGGCGTGTTGTTATATATACGCGTGCACAACACACGATAGGAGGAAGAGGAGGAAGTAGTTATTCGGTTAGCCCCTGTCGGCGGCGGCGGCTTCCTTTCGCTTCCGACACCACTGAGTGGCGGCTCGCGTACACACTCTCTCACACGCACACATACCTATACATGTATAATACTCTATCCAGTTCCCATAAAACGGGGTTCCACTTATGACGATGACTTATGAGTGTGTGTGTGTCACGGAGAAATAAAAAGTACACAGAGGGGAGGCAATTAAGCCCGGAGCGCGTATAGTGCTCGCGCGCGGGTATATAACATTACATAGCTGCTGCTTCAGGTACATAGATATATAGAGATATTCGAGAAGAAGATAATAAGTAGGTCACGGGGCCGACCTGCCCGGTGGAATGCAGACTGACCGCCCCTCCCGCCCAAGATGCTTTCCCTTGCTCCCCGCACTCCCCTACCAGGACACCCGTCGCTCGTCCGCCAGCGACCCGCCGCGTAGACGGCCGACGGGGACACGTGGGAACCGGCCCGCGAGTCCATTTCCAAAATCACATTAATCCTGCTTATTATCCCTTTCATTTTGTCATTACGCATCAGATTTATACTCGCACGCACGAACGTATCTTATATTGCAATACATATGCAGTATATGTACCTACTGGCCCTGTAGCAGATGATTTTTTTCCCCTCTTTCGTGATATTTTCAATAGAAGCTATTCGAACACTTACTGGATCTTAGAAAGTAAAATAATCTCAAAACCTTAAGTTTAAATAACTTCGAATGGAGCTACGAATACTTTTCGATGGAAGTAATAAATTGATGCAACTTTTAATATAAWCTAAATATGGTGCTACAAACCATACTTTATTCACTAAAAAATCTGAATTGCATCAACCAAACCAAAATTTAAAAAACAATTAAAATGTTCAAATTAATTTTACATTATTCAAAAAACTAACTGTTAAGTATTTAATAAGAAATAATTAACAATATTAAAAATAATGATTTTTGGTCATTATAAAACA